CTGATTCTCAAAATGTACCGGAGTACAGTAAAAGTACCGAAAATTGTAACGTAAGTACAAGTACCGGAGTACTTGTACTCCGTTACTACCAGCTCTGGTCGTTACGTACCATTACGCTGTGACCACACCAATTAAAATTCAGGCTGTCTCGCAATTTCGGGAATAGAGAAAAACTGCCTTCAACTTCAATGGTCAGGGAAGAGTTCACAGTTCGATGTGATCCTGCCTGGAGCGAACTTGTAGGCCCAACCCACCCAGCGACGGATGAAAGTTCAGGTGGCGAGCTCAGATGCGAGTGCGATGTTTGGGGAAAAGAAACGCCCATCGGTCAGTTCACACCTCGGTGTGATCCTGTCTGGGGATCATTGTACCGTTTCATGGAGTTTTACAGCGCATGTGATCACTTTCACAAGAGTGGCCGATCTTTGACGCGACGGGCAGTTCTTTAATCTCAACTTTTAACTCTTGGTTGATCGGCTGTGCCTGCCCGGGTGTTTGTTCCGTAAATTATGATCGGAAATGTCGGCACTTATTCTTTCATTAAGCTTCAAAAGTACTCAAAATGTACTTGAAAAGTACTCAAAAGTACTTTTATAAAAAGTATCGGAGTACAGTAAAAGTACTGATTCTCAAAATGTACCGGAGTACAGTAAAAGTACCGAAAATTGTAACGTAAGTACAAGTACCGGAGTACTTGTACTCCGTTACAACCAGCTCTGCCTAGGTCTCGCTAGGCCTAGGCTAGACGCGACGCGCTTCGCTGTCGATACCGCGCCTAGTTATTTTTAGCTCGCGTCTCAGCGGTCACGTTCGCAAATGCACTGTTGTCACGGACCGCGAGGCCTCGTTTCCTGTCTCTATATTTTAGTGTCTCTGGTGTCTCTGATTAGACTTACCGTATTACTGTGGTTACTTCCCTTTAATTCACTGACAACTGGCCCCTTTAATCAGTCATTAATCCTGATTACTGGCATTTGGTGGGGGTATTTCAAAACACCCCCACAACTCTCAGAATTACCCTATTGTAATAATATTTTGACATCGTAAGGTTACAATCAAGCTTGATCCAATACAAAAAGTTTAAGTTGTTTAAGTCTAACACAGTGTTTTTCAAAGTGGGCGCTCCCGCCCCCAGGGGGGGGGGGGGCGGTGGCGAGAGTTTGGGGGGCGCTGTGGCGAAACTGGGCGATTGGGGGGCGCTGGTGGGCGCTAAGGGGGCGGTGTGAAATGTTCATGTCATGCAACATAAAACATGATGTAGGGAAAAAAGCCACATAAAAAACAAAAACAAAAATAGATAGTTCAGGCACAGTTTACAATACTACTTATAACTAAGAACTTTCTTTCCCTGCCCGCAAATCCCATATAAAGAAGATTCGTCAACACAAATCTGACAAAGATCTGGCATACTTCAAAACTCTAAAGATCAATTTTCAGAAATGAAAATCAGTTAAAAACCGATGTTTGCAGCCAACGTCGATCAAGCTGATGTAGGCTTACGAGCAACACATAATTTATCTCAGCTAATTACAAAGGAAGGCAAACACCATGCTATTGGTGAGGATCTCATATTGCCTGCGATAAGAGAGGTGGTCAGCACAGTCCTGCAACGTGCCCCGGAGCCTGTGTTGAAAGTTCTCCAACTAATTGACAATACCATTCAAAGACGTATTGATGAGATGTCAGCAAATGTTGAGGAATCACAGTGCAAAATGCTGAAAGGACGTGAGCTCAGCCTTTAACTGGATATCAGTTCATAGAGGGTGAGGAAATAATGCAAGAATTGTTATTTGCGAAAATGTTGGAAACAGATACCAAAGGCGAGTCCATTTTCAAAGTGGTCCAAGAATTTTTCGAGGAGAAACAGATCCCTCTGACCAATACAGTTGCCTGTGCAACAGAAAAGGCACCGTCGATGGCAGGTCGGAAACGTGGATTTATGAACTTCTTGAAGAAATCAGTCCATGTATTTACTCTTTACTGTGTCATTCACAGACATAATTTGGTGGGGGGGAAAAAACCTGAATGAAAGTCTGCATGACACACTGGCCATTGCCATCAAGTGTGGGAACAAGATCAAAGCCCTCGCTTTGAACTCGCGACTATTTCAACAGCTGCGCACAGAAAATGGCGAGTACTTTCAATGCTTACTTTTGCACACTGAAGTCTGGTAGCTCTCGAAAGGAAACTGTTGAACACGATTATTGTTCTGCCTGTTTGACTCTGAGCTGGAGTTGTTGTTTTTTTTTTTCAAGAAACAGACAGTGATCTCTGCAATAGACTGAAAAAACACAAGAACTACATTGCGCTCCTCACAGATCTTTTTACAAAGCTCAACCAGTTCAACTTTCAGCTGCAGGGGGATGGCACCAATCTGATCAAGGCTTTCGTCATTCTTGTCGAAATTGGAAATGATCCGCCGAAACATTGGCAGAAGAAAATTTCTCAGTTTCCTAGCTTGACGGAGACACTGAAAGAAGGGCGCATTTCTGACGAGGACCTACAAAAATACATAGCAACCACCTCAGAGATTTGCAGGCTGATATGAAGACAAGGTTTAGCCTCCTGGTATTTTTTAAACGGGAAATTCCATGCTGGATACTGGACCCATTGAACACTGAAACAGATGATAACTTGCAAGTAGCAATTGAAGAAGAGCTTCTGACGATGAAATGTGACTTTGAAATCAAACCATTGTTCAAAAAGTCGTACCAGTCATTCTGGTTGAAAACTATTGTGCAAGACAAATGCCCCTCAAAGTGGGAAAAGATCAAGTTGTTCATCTCTTTTCCCGCCTCCTATCTAGTGGAAAGGGGATTCAGTGCAGTGACAAGTTTGCTGACGAAGAGTAGAGATTTGCGTCTGCTACTGACCAATCTGAAACCTGATGTGATAAGTTGGTTCCGTCTTAGCATGTCCACCCTTCCCATTAGGGTAGTTTCAATAACTTATTTGCGCATGCTTACTCCGTAGTTTACCCTTACTTGATATCTCAATGTGTCTTTTTTTTTTCTTCCTTTTTTTTAAAAAGCAAAACATTCACTTGTTCAACAGAGTTTTTTTATGTGCTCGTGCTGCCACTGCTGATGAAACTGACGATGACGATGACGATGACGATGACGATTGACGATTGACGATTGACGATGACGATGACGATTGACGACGACGATTGACGACGACGATTGACGACGACGACGACGACGCCGACGACGACGACGACGACGACGATGATGATGATGACGATGATAATGATGATAGATGATAGATGATGATGACGATGATGATGATGATAGATGATGATGACGATGGTGGTGATAATTGCAGACTAAGATTCATGCATACTTTTTCTTTCGTGTGGTTTCTCACATTTGGACAACTTAATAATATTTTTATTTTCTATAATGGAGATATTTGATACAAATCTCAGGCCACTACATTGCAGCACGTTGATGGGAGAAAAGTTTCATAAAGATAATGTCAATCTGTTTTCAAACCAATGATCATGGGCGTTTTTATTTATTTGTTTATTTTGTGGCGTTTTGCTTCTGTAAATGTGATAATACAATTTTTATTTTTATTGATGTTAATAACACTGGTCGTTTAGTACCGATGACAATTATATGCATAAAATGACAGTATTTTGCTCTCAATGCCCTTGCATAAGATTGAAGAAAAATGTGCTTTATTTTATCTCTCGTCCACGCTTAATTTAAGACTGTAAAGATGATGATTTGTGACCCAACTAATATTCAGAACTAAATTATTAGAATTTAGGCACGTTACTTTCTACCCTGCTATTTGTGAGCTCTCTCTTTATTTGTGATTATTATATTATGCATGTCATTATGTCAGATTGATGGTTGGGGCGGAGTAGGGGTCGCTGGGACTCGGCTGGGTGAAAAAGGGGGCGGTGGGCGAAAAAAGTTTGAAAATCACTGGTCTAACACGTTAATTTTTATGATTTTTTAAACATTTGCATGAATTTGATTTTCTAAATAACTTCCAGAGACGTGACAGAGAGAATGAAATTCACAACAACAAAAAACAACAAAAGTTCAAGGTGTTTTGGTTTGTATGCATGTGTGGGTGTTTGGGCTTTGCATTGATTCCGGTAATCCCTGACTCTAATCCTAATCACTAACCTTAAAGCCTAAACCAAAACATAAAAAACCCAACCCCTAACCCATAAACCCTAACCCCTACTACAAAATTCCAAACTATAACCTCTAAAGGTTAAAATTTAACATCAAGAAACAAATGACCCCTAACCCCTAACCCATAACCATAACCCTAACCCCCATTCCAAACCCCTAACCCTAAACCTCAACCATAACCCCAAACCCAAACCCTAACCCTAACCCTAACCTCTAACCCTAACGCCTAAGCAAAGCACACAAAAACCCCTAACCCAAAACTCCCAACTCCTAAAACCTAACCCCAAAACCCTAACCCATAACCCGTAAACCAAAAACTTACAACTAATCCAAAACCCTAACCCCTAACCCTGAAAGGAA